TATTATTACTACTAAACAAGGATTTTTATGGATATCTAGCCTTTGGTGTGTTTGACAGACACCCTCCCATTCTGTAGCTGTTTCTCCCTACAAAGATGTCGCAAATGCTTTCACATTCTCTCCCTGTTATCTCCGCATTTTTAAGGTGTGTTATGTAGTGGTAGGCAGGAACCCCCCCCCCCTCCGTGAGCATCTCAGTTCTATACTCAAATTTTACTTTTTTTTAAAATAGAGCTTTCCAGTTGAACCTGAATCCTAAGTTCCACTCTTTTTCCACGATGCTAACTGATTCTGACCAATGTTTCATTAGCTGCTCCCACCACAGAGCTGCTTAGGTCATTGCCTGCGCGGTTGCACAGCTCTACAATAGTAACCTGTAGTCAAGACAGTATTTTTAAGGCGTACAATTACACATACAAGGTGTTTGGAGTCATGCACCTTCCATAAAAAGCAAAACATGTAGTGCCAATACTTTGAACACTCATAAAATCAACACTAAAGGCTGCCTGAGCATATCTTTAGAATATTGATTCAGACATTAAAAAAAATTAGCATTTCATCATCCTTCAGTTTGGAGGCTAACTTGGCTGTTACTGAACTTTTGGTTACTCTTTATTGATCTGCTGCAGCTGCATGCCCACATGTGCCGCTGTGCAGTTACAATATAAACGCTTAACACGTTTGCGAAAATAAATAAATAAAATACACGTCTGATTACATTGCGATCGTCAATGTAGTGACGAAGACATGCGGCGGTTGCTTTTGGTGTTGATGGGTGGGGCGCCCACTAGCTGCATACAACAGCATGCAACGATTTGTGCACAGAGGCAATAAAAGGTTGCTCTTCTCTTCTGCCTTATTGGAGGTTTCTGGTCAGACTCACTTGGTATTACGGGAACTGAATATTTTTTGCAGTTCTGTCGGGACGCACCTCAAACACGAGAGCACAAACAATCTCAGTTTGCAGAAAACCTACAATCACCCTGTATTCTGGCTATTAAGACAAATTCCTACTAGTGTCATTGATCAACTTTCCAGGCAGAAGAATGTAATAATCGGCAAAAAAAAACCGCCACCAAAGTCAATTTTCATTTAAAGCAAACACAGCAGAAGTGGTCATATGGTTACTGAGCAGGTCTGAGTAAAGATGAAGTGACTTGTTGAGGATTCAGGTTGGTGTAGTCTCACATTCCACTCTTACCTGGAGTTTGCTGCCCCTCACTCTCATTGGTCTGACCTGTGGTACGTACCCCGACTGCATCCAACGGACTCCCCACACGTTAATGTCTGCCTACCAGGATCTCTGTTTGGAGAAGATTACAAAATGAGAGCCAAATGTATGACATTTAGGCCTGTAGCAATTTATTTGTTGAGGTGATTTAATTTCATTTGTACAGATTTGGCGGGGGGGGAGTGTCATTCATTCATGGTTTAATCATTGTGGAGATGTAATCTGTGATGCGGGGAAAGAGATTTCTATCGCAGCTTTTGAGTTTTGACTGTTTTTCTCCTCTTGTTTCTTCTGCGCTTCACATTTTCCTGTTTTTTATTTTGGTGTACAGCATCTACCCTGTACAGTGAAGAGCCACCTCTCTGTAGCCTCATGAAAACTCAGTGTTGAACCCGAGTGTTGCCCGTGGAGGCTAACATGGCAGTGAAACTACCTAGAAAACCTTGAAATGTATTCACTCAGTTTCTTTTTCGTTTGTCTTTCTCGTTTGTGGCAGATTGTGGTTCCCCGTAGCGGGATATTGAAAACTGAGTCACACTCTGACCTCCCTCTTCTCTGCCTCCTCACAAAAAGGAAGGTGACCTATTTTATTTTAAGTCCCCAAAGAACCCATGAAGGTCAAAAATAACTAAGCACACTGGTTTTACTCATCCCCACTTTTTTCCTCCTCCAAAATTGTGACTTCACATCCAAAAGTTAACTCTGTTGCAGATCAGGAGAATCACCTGAGTCTGAGAGGCTTGTGTTGTATTTGAGCTAATGTAGGATTGTAAGAGGGCTCAGGTTCAAAATACAGTTTTGGTCGTATCTTGCAGAGTGATGAAACATTTTTCACCCATGAGGTATCGAAAGGATGGAGATCATGCTTATATACATCGAGCCGTGTTCTTATTTTGTCAGGATAGTTAGTTTTTCTGGGTGGTGACTTCAACTAAACAACATATGCTATATGGCTGTATTACAGATAGAGTTTAGCTAGTATGGTATGCTTACCGGATAAAGCATTCACTGCTCCATCTGACCTTTAGTTAGTGTCTGTCGTGTGGTTATATGTAAGATACTCCATAGATGTGCCTGCGTGTCCTCTTCTTGCAGATCCAGAGTTGTACAGACAAGTGTGAGTGGTTTCAAACAGTTTGAGCTAAGTGAGCCTGATAGATCTAACTGTACAGACATCAAGGGTATAGCACCTTTCAAGCTGTTAACCCCCCATCCCCCCCCCCCCCCCCCAAAAAAAAAACCCCACCACGATTTACTACTCAAACTCTGTTCCCAAAATTAAATAATTTCAATTTCCAATATCTATCAGGAGAGTTTGACTCATTTGAAGCCACGCAAGAATCATTTCTCCCCTGCAGAAGTTTTGGATGTTAGCTTCTGCGTTTTGAACTCCTGCAGACCTTCGACATGTTCAAGGCAGCACAAAGCCATGCAACTGTTTCCAGAGTGTTTTTGGTGAAGTTTGTGATCCACATCCACTCAAACAGAACAAACCTTTAAATGCAGACTCACAGTTTTAACATTGGCCAGTGTGTTTTCTCTGTCAGCTGCCTACAAGTTTGTATTTATTCATTCATTGCAGAGACCTCCTTTTTTATTTTTAATCTTCATTAAGTGCCACTCTTGTAAGTTACGGCTCAGCTTCGATTAGAATTTGAAAGTTCATTTTAAGTAATTCAGAAATTTTTGTTTTACTTTTACATGTGTGCAGTATTGTACTTTGAGTGCTGAAAACACAGTATATCCAAGTTGAGAATTGTAATAAAATAGCACAATATTGTGCAGTGGTGCAACAGGGAACTAATAAGATTTTGTCTTTTTCAAAAACAAGATTCTTGTGTTTGGGTAAATAATTTTATTTGCATCTGCTGGGCAGTAAATTAATGACAGACTCAGCTGTGGCCCTGTGTTGCTCTCGTGAAACAAAACGATTATCTGATCCCATCTTTTAAATCCCTTCACTTTTATTCAGCATCAAGAGGAATGATCACTGCCTTTGTGTTTCAGGTTGTCGTCAACTCAAGAACTAAAGTAAACGTCCTCAAACTAGTGAATAATTTACTTTTCCCATTGCAACTTGAATTCTAAATTATTTTTGAATGGAAAACATGTTTATTTTTCTCCTTTTATTTAATTTCCTTTTGTCTTTCTCCTTCTCACCTCTTCTGCTCCAAGTTAACAACGTTTTAAACACCCACAGTTCAAAACAGTGACTCCAGACAGCTAGAAATCACATGGTGGTGTATCGAGCCTTAGTCCTGCAACCGTACTTGCACACTCCCCCCACACACAAGGATGAAGGACCTGAGCTAACGCAGTGGACATTAATCCACAGACAGGACGTCCAGGGCCCGTCATCCATTTTATCAGCACAGCTGCAGAGAGCCAGCACCCTGATCCTGTAATATCACCTCCCCCATGTGTTGACTGTCTACTCGTGCACTTGCATGCTTCTGGTGTGGAGTCGAGGCCCGACCGGTGCACATCTCCCAGTCTGTCTTGTGCTCGTGTGGATTTGTGCCCTGTGCTGGCCTGTCGCTGCCATCAGGGGATTTAGCTGTCACACACAGCATGGAAAATGGCAGATTTTTATATTGGGGAAAAAAATGTATTTGGTACCTTGTGTGTGATACTTGAGGGTTAAAAAGTCAAAAGGTTTTGTTTTGGTTTTTAAAAAGTCCATCCTTGGTCTTATTTTCATCACCCTCTTTGCCCTCCTTGTTTTTTTTCTTTGCATTGTGAAGTGGGCATGCTTGTCAAAAAGACAAATGCTCTCTATTAATAGGCTTATAACACCATAAATAGTTGTGTATAAAATAAACTGTTATAACTTCTTTTTTAATAAAACATTCAATGTGTATAAATGGTGTTTGTCTGATGCTGATGATTCTCATGTTTTGAGGTTTACAACCAGTTCTTTTATACTCTGAGAAGCCCCGTGTTTATTAACCCTCTGGGGTCCAGATTACTTTGGTAAATCTTATATGCATTCACTTTTCTCATCAATACAGCACAAACTCAGCTACATAACTATATGAGTTTATTTTACCATAAAAATAACATGCTCACTATATTCACTTGTGAATACACAGACTACAGGAACTAACTGTAACAAACCTTTTTATCTCATTTTCATAAAATGCACAAATTCTACTTGAAGCCATTCTGAGGAAACAGCCTCAGAAATATAAATTAACAGACGCACATCGTTAAAATAATTTATTTTTATTTTTATTTTTATTACTGTTAAAACAAACAGTAAAGTCTCAAGATTAAACACAATTGTTTTAACACATAGTTGACATAGAAACGATGTCAAAGAATATTGTGATAAATATATTGACACAAATAGAAAACTAACTATGATAAATCCACATGTAATTATACATGAAGGTAAATATTGAAGAATGCATTTAGAAAAATAGAAATCCTGCAGTAGCAGCTTTACGTCCACAAGGTGTCAGTGTAGCACCACTCTCCCGTGTCACACTTCCCCTCCACTGTTCTCTCAGGCTGCACAATATGAACCTCTGTCTGCCATGATCCCCATGAGTGCTGTGAAACATGAGACTCAGGCTGCTACCCCAGAGCGCGCACACACACACACACACACACACACACACACACACACAGTTACTGAATTCCCCTTCATAGCCAGACTTCTGTGGGTCACACAGGCTGTTTCTTTTTCTTTGAAAAGTTGTGAAACCAGGTTCTCTGTGCACATTCAGAGAGTTTGGTTTGTATGTAGCACTGCATAAGTCTTGCACACTGCACCAGGTCTGCTAAGCATCCGAGCCACCGCCTGGGGTTTTATTTTGCAGGGGACACTGGACTGTGAGATTAACCTTGCTGTGAGGGCAGCCTCTGCATGTGACGCACGGATGCAGATGCTCCGGTGAGCCGGGTGAGGGTGCTGTGCCTCGTCCATCCTGAGCTGAAACTCCCTCTGTATAATCACAGCAGGGGGAAATAAATGCTGTGACATAAGGCTGCTTAATCCTCTTTCCTGAAAAAATGTATTCTGTCACGCAGCAATCTGCTCTCTCTTCCTGCCGCTCTTTATTTCTGAAGCGGTGCTGAGACGTGACATTACTCCACACTCTCAATAGTATTATTGACGTGTGTTGATTCAACTCACTCCCTTTATCTTCCTGTGTACATACTTCATCCTCTGCACTGTAAATCCTCTGCTGGGCCACAAGCTCCAGCGTGTCCACATCAGAGCCCCAGAGGGTCTTCATCCTGAGCAGGAATGTGATCGACATGTGTCTGTTCACCAACTAAAGGCCAGAAAACAAGATAAGGTCATTCTGTGTGGAGCAAAGATGGTTGTTTTTAGGGCAGACGCACTAAATCATCATAGTGTGGGTGTACGGTAAAGGAGTACTACAGCAAAGTAATATTACACTTGCAGAAAATTAGGGAATCAGTGAGCGATACATCTTTTTTCAGTCAGTAGTAAAGTCGTCGACTGTAACTGATGATGAAGGTATCGATTAAGAGTTGTACTGAGGATCGTGGTAATCCTGGTATTTATGATTATGTCGACGTCACATTGATGGGAACTTTGCTTTTTATTTATTCTTTACTGTCTTGAGATATGTGTGATGTTTCCCCAGAGTACAGTCTGTTGTTTGTCCTGCCTGGGAGGTGATATTCAGTTTCCCACTTGAGGGATTAACCACGGTAATTTTTAACGGTAATACCGTTCATATCATGTGGTGTACTATCATATCTCACCATTAACCCTGACTAATCAGTCCCCCTATATGCATCGTATCGTAGCACCAACCATGACTAATAGGTTTTTATGTATATGAACTGGTGTTATCATCTTGTAACTGATATCCTATTATATCCTTTTGTATTGTATCAAAACAAACTGTATATAGTAACCCCGTGACAAATACTCAGACTTTAACATTTAGAAGTTGGTGCTTGTGGCACCTGTCATTATGAAACAACATTTTCACCCGTTATGGTGAGAAATCAGTTTGATGAATAACATTGTAGAAGTCGCAATTCATGTTGGAATATATGAACACAGATACTGATGATGTCCTTCATTGTGAACTTGATTTCAAATTTTAAAAGCTTCTTTTTTCACCTGACCACTCCTTCCCTCGCTTCAGAGGAGGATGAGGAGGAGGAGGATGGAGGGAGGGAGGACAGGGCGAGGCTCTCTCCCCCTGACCTCCAGAAGTCCAGCAACCTGAGATCCTCAATGAAATATTTAAAGCTTCTGTTTATCCGCAGTGCGCTGGTCAAGAAGAAAAAACTGCAGGCCTCCAATGACGTAATGCCCGAGGCGCACAGCTGTGGTCTGATTGGTCTGTGCAGAGCGGGGCGGTCAGGTGACCTGTGCCGCTGAGGCCTTTTAAGGCATTACGATGCCCAGAGGCTCCACATTAGGCTCATGCCCTGTCTGCTGCAAGTTATAATCAATCACTGTTGACTGCGGCACTTTCCATAGCAAAGCTTTTAGCAGCAAATCTGCCGTAAGTGTGCATTCTTTAATGAACGCAGGTTATACATCTGTGTTTATAAGAGTGTTGCCTTGTTTTGTGGCAGGAGGCCTCTGCAGATCCACACTGCGGTGTCTCAGTCAGTCGGTCCTCTCTGTGTTATTCTGTTATTTTACCTTGAAATGGTGCAAAAAGTAAAAGTGCACTGGGTTACATTTATGACCAAGGCTTCCTGAAAAGGTTTAAGATTATTTCCCCCCATCTTTTCTACTATCTGGTTGCCATGGTGAGCTGACAGCCTGTAAACCAATCTGGATGAACCATCACCAATAACATGCAGGTGGAGTGTTGGGTTTCTCAGGCTGGGGCTCAGTGGCAGGCAATGGGCTCTCTCGGGTTACAAGCTCTGTTTCAGTGGCACAGTGGGGGGTGGATGAGGAGGAGGAGGTGGTGCAGCAGCAGCAGCAGCTACACAATCATCCCTGGGTCTTTACAAATACATGATCCACTGATTAACAGGCCCCAGACCCACGCATCCACTTCTTTGCTGAAGCCGGAGCAGACAGGAGCGAGACATGGCTGGGGGTCTCAGTGGAGGAGGAGACCCTGCAGAAATGTGGCTACTGACAAGACAGAGCAGTTTTCAACATCAGATATCAGATCTCTCCCTGTGCAGAAAACATCCTCAGCGTTCCTTTGTCCACATCTGCTTTTGCAACAGATGTGTGTTATTGCTGGCTTTGTTTCATGACCTTCTTTTCACTGACGTCTTTATTTTTCTGAGTAATGGTGCTGCATGTGCTGAAGGCAGAGGAATAATCCCCTGTGCACTAATCCCCTGAAGATGTAAGGCCAGTTGCAGCTAAAATGCATTTTCATATTGAGAGAGTCTTGCACCCAAAGAAATTAGCACCCACCACTCTTGCGTGTGTTTTTTTTAAGTCTTTGCATTTTATCAATTTCTGCACAAACTTTACAATAATACTTGAATCAATCATTTTATTTGGACAGTTTTAATGAAATCATCGGCTCTGTTGTTCAGCATCTTCTCTTTTAGAACGCAGTCGGATTTTATAAAATGCTACCTGATGACTGATCATCTTTATTATTATTTATAAATATGGCCTCATGCATCCTCGTTTTTTCCGACACTTTTGGGGGATTTTTGAATGAAAATGGCTTCTACCTACTAATTTTTTTTAGCATTTTGAGGGATTTATTCAATTGTTGAGACATTATGAATAAACGTGGCCTCTGCATCCTTATTTTTCAGCACTTTTTGATCATTTTTGATATATATGGCCTCTGCATCCCAAATTTTCTACACTTTTGGACGTTTATAAATGACTTAAGCCTCTGCACCGTAGTTTTTCCACACTTTTTAAGCATGTATGAATAAATATTGCCTCTGCATCCTCCTTTCCCTGCAGCATGGCCTTACATCCTCAATAAAGTGATCTGTTGCCATTTCTCTTTTTCCTTTGTTTTTGAGCAGCAGACTAAGTCGTATCGCATTATTATTTCATCTGCAGCGTCCTATCATGTGGCCTGGATCCCTTCACGGGAGGTGGCACGCACCCACGCACATGCATTCATCTGATCTCTCTCGCCGGCACCTGTTTCACGATAACACAGAACCAAATGAGTATTTTAAATATTCATCGAGGGCTATATACTCATCTCCTATGCACACGCGCCCGGCCTGTCACACAGATGATCCCCGGCTCTGGTTTCAGCGTCCTGCAGGTGGAAACCATGCGTCAGGGCCTGGAGAGGCTCAGGGCTGCACGCTCTCCTCTGCGCGCTGCAGCAGACACGACGCTTCACCTCGGATTGATTTCACTGTCGCTATTCACTGTGAAAGGAGTGAAACCGGACCCAGCCCCGTCAACTCTAAATATTAGACGAGTTTTGTCCACCTAGTTATCTGCCTAATTATCAACAGCAGGTAAATGGACTCTGGATGGCCATCGGAGAGGAGCATGGGTGGAACTCGCCCGCATATATTAGGGGGTCCTGCAGTGGAGTAGGGGCATAGCTCGGGCTCACACTTCAGCTGGAGTCCCTGTGGTGCGTAAAAGCTTGGAGAGGAGGACGAGGAGCCACAGTGGGGCCCCTGCAGGACCCAGGAAGACGCGTCAGGCCTCCAGGAGGTCAACATCAGGTTGTATGGTTTTCACTATGACAGTTTTCTTGATATGATAACAGAAAATGTAGTAAGATACAGTGAGATTTACCATATGCCCTTAATTGCACATTTTAGCAAAGGTATTTTTCCTGCGTCCCTCAAACAGGAAACATTACGCAATTTGCGCAGAGTATAATGCTCCCACCAGTGCAGGCTTTAAATGCAGTGTTTGATAATCATTAGCCATCTGGACGTGGTCATTTGATCCTGCTGCATCTCGACCCAAGAACTGCAGCCTCAACAGCATCAGCCGACTAAAACTAATCCCGGGGTGGGGGGCTGGGAAGATGCGCCAAATATGTTATCTGATGCATGTGCATGGTTTAGTATCTGGAAATACAGCACATGCAGGATATTTTATACTGGACTTTAATAGTGTATCTTGACTTTATATTCCAGTAGAATATATTATGTTCATTTTTATAAATTTCAACGTACAGATTTAAAACTGAGCTGCAGGACAATGTTGGGTTGTCTTTACCCCTCCTCTCCCTCCCTCCATAGAGAAAGCATTGTGCATGTGCAGGTGCTGGTGAGGTAAAGTGTAAACTGCAGGCTGCACTGTTGACCCATGAGGCACAGGCCTGCAGGCCTCCTCTCAAACAGTGAAGGCCTTTTAGAGACAAATAAAAAGACATAAGGCCTTTGAGAGTAAATTTATAGTTGTTTAAGTTTTATATTATAGGCTTGAAATCTCTGAATCCATAGAGCAGTCAAACTATTAGTCAAACTTTGAAAATGTTATCAAAAAGCTCGTTTCAATGGGCATATCATTATTTTATCATATAATTGTTTTTTATCTATTTAATGTGGCAAATTGATAACGCTTTTAAAAATCGAATGAGTCAATAGGAAGATAAAATAAAGAGGGCTGTGGACGGCCATGTTTCCTGAGGATAGTCTGAAGGGGTTGTTCCAAATGATTCGTCAGGAAATCGTTTAATCCGGGGGGCGACAACAAAACCAGTGCTCATCCGCTCCCACTGCAGCAGTTCAAACGGCACCACTTTACTTTTAAGGTCTCCTCCATCGACTCAGCCTCGGAGGGATCCACCTTAAAGAGACTGCGCCCCGGGTTCAGGCTGCTAGAGGCCGGGAACGCAGCAGAGCAGGAGGGACGCAGGCAGGACGCGTGGATTATTGGTTTAATGCGTAAAAGTGAGTGGATGGATGGAGGCTGGAAAAAGACGAAATGTGCAGAGGAGGCCTGTGATAGAACGAGAGGGCTGTGCGTTTTTTGTTTTATTAAATAACATGCAACATCATCCACAGGCCTGTGAGGGCCTGTTCCAAAAGAGCTAGATCTATAAAAGTTAAAATATAAAAGATATAATTTATATAATGTTGCTCTTGCATTTTTATTCCTCTTGAAGTTAAATTGCAGTGTATGTTTTTGTAGTAGTTGCAACCGGCTGCTCGTCTTTGTGCGTCTGCGCCTTTAAAAAGGTGCACGGAGCTGCTTCCTTTCTGTCAGTGTGCAGCCAGGACGCGCAGGTAAAGAGGGAGGAGGTTGAGCTGGGAAAGAGAGAGAGAGAGAGAGGAAGAGAGGAGGAGAGGAGGAGAGGAAGAGGAGCGCAGGGGCTGAAATTGACATTTGATACTCAGGAAGTTGAGGACGCCGCTTGGATTTCTTTTGTTTCATTGTAATTCTGCGGCGCTGCTGCTGCGGGCGACGCCGACTGACCGGAGGCTTGAGTCGCTTCTACACGACTTTAAACTGTGGAGGAAAAAAACTCCGAGTAAATAAAATGATTTGAGGTTTAAAATGTGAGACGAATCCGACTTCAGAGCAGTTTGAAGCCGCAGACGTGACGCACAACCGTGGACACAGAGGAAGGTATGAAATCTAACGTTTCATCCATGCGCTTTTACGCATGTTAGACCATTGATTATTATTTTTAAAAGCTTTTAAACAATGCGCCTGGAAGTCAGGGGACGGTGCGTAGCAAAAAAGAGGAAACTGACGATTCCATGATATAAAAGAGGCCACGTTAAAGAAAAAAATAATGAGATATAGATGTGAGTAATGCTCGATGTTATCCTAGAAAAAAACACCTCACATGGTGACAGTTTTTAGGATTTATTCTGAAATCAGAAAATTAATTTAAATGCTATCCAGTAAATGACTTTAAAACAAATATCTCCTGTACTCAGAAATAGTCCGACAGGTTGATTTGGATCAAATAAAATAAAAAGATTTGAAACATATAACTAAATTCATCTATCCACTATTATCTTTATTAAAATGAATTAATGTTATGGATATTTGAACAGTATTTCACACAAAGCTGGATGCACCTTGTTGCACCTGCCACTATTTGCTTTTTTTTAACAAAGGAAATATATTCGAAAGCTTAAGCAGCCTATCATCCTTTTTTATTAAATGTAAGCAAGATAAATCCTTACATTTCACATTGTTTGACTCAAACTGCCGTAAATCTGTGGGTGTTTTGAAATAAGAAGGATTCTATAATTGAAAGTAACATAACTGAACTCGCTGTAAATTCCAATATCGGCTATGAATTGGGAATAAAAGTGATTTATATTTGCATCTCGTTTTAAAGGCCTCCCTCCTCCAGACAGTCAAACATGTCGGTTGCATGACTGATAGTGAATTTGGATCCTGCTGCGGGACTTATGATAAATCCTCCTGAAATAACCGTGAAGTTGAGGACTTTGTAGAGTCCCTGTTCAGACAAATGCGATTAAGTGCAGGGA